GGGAGAGCAGTGGGGACCTGAGTGGATACAGATCGGAGCATGGAGCGGCACCGGGCAGGAAGGAGAGGACAGGAGAGGTTGTCAAATTACGGTGGGCAGCAGCGGGGGGCTATCCATGTACAGGGGACCGTCAGGGGGATACTGAAGCATACGGACGAGGCCAGATGGAAACAGTTGTGTACCGCCGTATGCCTTATGTCGGTGGCAGGGAAAGGGTTAAAAGCTTTTACCGCTCCCCAATTTAGTGTTAACAGTGATTAATGGCCATAGAAGTATTGCTATGTGCGTGTACGTGGGGCGGGGGACTTTGAAAAAACATTTCTGTGTTGTTTTTATATGTGACTTTTTTTCTTTTTTACACTTTACTTTATTGCTATCACTTAGTGGGCTAAAAAGTCTGGACAGATACAGTCTGGACTCGTAAAAGCCATTCCTTGAGCGTTGGTGGGTGCGTAGACTTCCAGTGTCTTGGTAAGACCGTTTTGGCATGCATTTAACAGGTGGAGAACCAAGGAGGATTTAGATATATGAAGAGGTGCATCAAAATGGTAAAGGTTGCAGGTGAAAAATTCAAATTGATGTCAGTAATGTGTGATATGGTATCGCTCACCCCTTCTACGAGCACTTTAATCAGCAAGCGGCTCCATTAGAACAATTTCCCTCAAAGCCACTAGGTTTCACCAGAGTTCATTTCTGACACAGCCAGTTTAAGTCTTGTCCTCTATCTCTGGTTACACCGACACATGTTTTGCTGGTTTTAAATGCAATCACAATACATGTATATTGGAAGATATATTGTTCTATCAGATCCCATTCATATCAAAGTGTTGTATTACTAAAAACCCTGCATGCTGAATTTTTTGTAATTTGCCACAGAAATTATTTAAATCAAGCCCTTCAATAATCACAGCAATACATCTGAAAGAGCGGGGTAACGTCATTAAAACGCATGTTAACAACTGTATAAATGCATGTGCTCAGAATGTGCCCTAAATAAAATCTGTTCCGAAATAAATACATGGGCTGTCTTTGCGGACCTTTTCTTTTGGCTGTCAAGCTTCTCCAATGGCTTCAATACTTTCTGAATCACTGACCTGATACAGGTATGAAGATCAGGAGGTCTGACTTCAATTAAAGCTAAAACAACTAAATACAAGGCTGATATGAGAGCCTTTTACTTACCAAAGGAATTCAAATCTTGTCCAGTCACGACTGACATTTTTCTAGCCCTGACAGACAGCACAGCCACATTGGTGACCTGACTTTCTTTCTATTACAATTAGGCAATAGAGCTTAGTCATGTCCCTGCCCCCCAGCATGTGACTGGACAGTGAAGAAGCAGCAGGCTGATGATGTAATTGCTTTCTCCTCTTGTCACCATCTTCCTTCTCAGAACATATACATGTAAGATGCCAGATTGGTTTCTAGCACTGCCCTTCCCTCTCCCAGTCTGAATACTGCTGCACATAAGATATCAAGACAAATAAAAGTAATTTTTAAATATCTGCACTAAACGGTGTTTGTTTATATTTGCCTGGAGTTCCGCTTTAATGAATACTTGTTCTGGGTCAATGAGTCAGAAAGTATTAGAGCAGGGGTGGGCAAACTCTGGCCTTCCAGCTGTTGTGGAACTACAAATCCCATGAGGCATTGCAAGATTCTCACAGCCACAGGCATGATTACTAGGGACAGATGCATCATGGGATTTGTAGTTTCACCACAGCTGGAGGGCTGGAGTTTGCCCAACCCTGTATTAGGTCACAGAGAGCCCTACATCTAGCACTTTCAAACAAAGGTCAGCAATGGCAGCCTCCATATTTATCTTAGTAAAAGGGAACCTGTAGAAATAGAAATACGATTCTACTACCGCCAACATAATTGCTAAAGACGGGAGCTCTAGGGTTGCCATCATTACCCTTGTTGTGCCAGTAGATGAATCACTGACATATCGAGAATCATTTTAGTGTAAAAGTCAGGAATTCTGGGAGTATCTCATACTCCTGTTACCACGCTTTGGTTTGTTAACAACTTCATCCAATCATTCAGAAACAATGTAATAGGCTTTGTGGCAATATTTCCTAATGAATTCAAAGAATGATTCTTCAGTCAGTGTGTGAGGGATGTAGGCACAGTGGTGTGGAGGGGCAGGGGGATGAAAGCCGAGTGAAGGCTGATAAAAAGTAGAGTGACAGAATTGACACTGTGGGGCTGTGGTCCGCCATGGTAGAAAAAGTAATAAACATTGCATTTGCATGAAAACCGGTCTGGTATTGGATTCCACCCATAATGCCCTTGTTTTGAATGTTACAAAGGAGGGTGCAAGCATTAGTGGGTACTGAGAGAAAGGGGGCTTTAGGTGCATTTAAAGCTGAGAAATGGAAGCCGTAGATTCAAAAAGAAGCAGGGTTGTAAAGTGGTGGGTGCTGACAGAAAGTGTCTGTGGTGGAGGGGGGTACAGGATCAGTGGGTGGTAGGAGAAGGAGAGGTGCAAGAGTGGTGAGTGCTAAAATAAGGAGGTGTTGGCATTTAGGTGCCAAGAAAAAGGGGGTTGTAGAAAGAAAGGGGTGCAGCTATAGTGAGTGCCAAGAGAAAGAGGGGTTGCAGGATTGGTTGCAGTGTCTGACATTGGTGGCAGTGTCTGACATTGCAGGAGCCAGTGTGGATGCTGATAGGAACACTCCATCCCCACACAGAACCTGCTCATATTCAGGAGAGATGACATAAGACTAGTAGCCTAATAGCTTCTCTACTCTAGTAGCCATCTCCTCCTCAGCCTCCTTACTCTTTAAGCCCTGATCATACTGTGTAACCTGTCAGGGCTCAGAAAAGTGGGAGTGGGAGAGGATGAGAGATGACTGTAGCGGCAGAGAAGCTTTTGGTGCAGTCGGTTACCCCTTCTGTCATCATCCCCGGCACTGCAAACAGGGAAAGGGGCAGGTCCTGAGTGAGGAGGGAATGCTCTTATGGATCATCTAGGCTGGCTGGCAGCAATGTTGTGCAGGGAGAGAGTACAGAAGTCAGACGGATATCCCTATCTCTGATTATTTTGAATCTGTAATGTGACCGCAGAGTGGCCAGAGCTCAAACCAAAGCATTGACAGGGCTCAGGAGCAGGCTGCTGTTGTGCTCCTCTCAGCCTCGCCTCCTCCAAGCATGCGGCCAGAGAATCCCCAGTGGCAAAGATCCATATGATGGGGGGCACAGGAGGGGTTGACTGATAAGGGGGGTTACATGGACATTTTCTTACAGTCTAAGGCAGGGATGCCTATTAGGTGATCGCGATCTACCAGTCGTTCGCAAAGCTACCTCTGGTAGATCGCGAGTCGGCTCCCTGCACGAGCTCCGTCCTGTGGTGCTAGTACGACCAAATGTGTCAGAGGCTGCAGACGGGAGGGGTGTGGCTCCCCTCATAACCTGCAATGTCTGACACATTAGGCCTGCCCATCTGCAGTGTCGAATATATTCAGCCCACCCCTCCACGCCTGTAGTGTCTGATATTTGGCCCGCGCCTCCCCACTTACAGCAATGAACATATTCGGCCTGCCCCTCCCCATAAAGAGCAATGTACTTCTTCGGCCCGCCCCTCCCCACTTACAGCAATGAACATATTCGGCCCGCACCTCCCCGCCTGTAGCGTCGTGCAGATTTGGCAGCACTAGCACGTGAAAACCGGAAGAGCCGGGAAGCAGGTAGTTACTACTAGTGTACACACAGGACATGAGAGGCGTAAGAAATTGCTCATGATGGCTGAAAGGTCTAAGAGGCAGTACACAAATGAGTGAGAGACTTAAAGGAGCTGCACACAGAGGAAAGGAGTGATCTGGTTTGGGGATCTGTACACAGAAAAAGGTCAGAGGCTGCAGGAATTCTATTGTGCTGTGGACATTTTGAGTTTATTGTTAAAACTGAACATCTGTATTCAAATTATTAGGTTTATTCAATAAGAAGATGCATGCAGTATTCCCAGTAAGCATTTTAATATGTTTGCTTTCAAAATACAGGTGTTTTTCTTTTCATTGGTAGATCTTATTGATCTCGTCATTTGAAAAGTAGATCTTAAACACGAAAAATTGTGGGCACCCCTGGACAGGCTGGGAAATGTACCCTTCCCCATAATTTGGAATATCTCCTTTCCACACCCCTGCTTTTTGCACAATCTTCTCAAGGTACGTGTGGTGTGGAAGAGTGCCCATAATATTTATCTTTTGAGGCATGCACCCAATGCTGAAGGGCACACAGGCTAGTACTACCAACATAGACTGGAAGACTAAACTACAGGCAATCACTTACCTTTTCAAATGTTGCCATTAGTACATGGGAGTGACCAATATGTTCTGCAAAGAGAAAGAAACTAGTTAGATTGTACACCAAATCCTCTGTATCGCAGTAAATGCTGATTTTTTCCCCCTCAGACTAAGGGACTGGGAATAACTCAAGATAACTGACATGCACTAAGAAGAAAAAAAACTAAAAAAAAACAAAAACACAATCCTGAATTGCTTCATTCCAGATATTTGGGGCCTTCTGTAACTTCAAAATCCTTAGACGCCTCTGGGGTAGCTTACTTGTGTCGCTTTTTCCCCCTTTTCCTTGCAATATACAGAGCTGAAATACGAGGTTTGCCCACCCACTTGGATTATTTATATGACTTGAATTTCAAACCCCTGCTTCTTCGAAAATTCTCTGACGGTTTACGAGACCGCATTTCTGGTTCGGGAGGCTGGCGCTGTACAAAATGGACATCTTGCTACGATTGCACTATATCTTTCAAACCGCTCCCATACACATACCCAACACCTTTTTCAGACCTTACGACTCTCCTCAAGTATATCTGGAAGGGATTACCAGCACGCATCAACTTTAATGTTCTGATCAGGCCAAAGATTTCGGAGTGGGTTTCCCCATGTGGAGCGTTACTATAAAGCCTCTCACCTAACGAGACTTTATGATACGATCTATAATGCATCCCATAACTTATGGGTCCAGTTGTAGTTGGCTATTTCCCCACTCCCCTTGATGTCTCTCCCTTGTGTGAATCCCTCTCTTCAACCTCAAGCAGTGCATCTTCCGTTCTGTGTGCCCTCCTTACTCCATGTGTGGGATAACCTTATCAGAACCCATGCTATTTCCTCTTACATACTATAGGTCCCATGGCACCGATGCTTGGGAATCCAGACTTCACCTCCTGGCCTCACACGGTCTAAATTACTATCCAGGACATCGACAATTCGGTCTTCAATTTCCCAAGCTTTCTCTTTCTCTGGTCTGTTACCTCTGACTTCTCTGCTTCCAGATTTGCTACTACCCCCAGGTTCTTAGTTGCTGTATTTTCAAATTAGAGATTTCTATACCTCCCTGCTCTGTCGAGCGGATAGGGAAAGCACCCCCTTGATATCCCAAATTCTCTGCTATCTGGACCGTCTGGATCCTTATTCGAGAAGACAGGCTGCTTCTTGCAATTGCTGATTGTTCAGATTTATCAAGCCTTTCTCTGCAACTTCAGTCACCTATCCATTAGATGGGATTTTCCATCCAGTGTTTCCCACAGTTCCAACTCCAGGGTCTTGTCTTGTTCTTTCTATTGCTTTTCTTCCTGTCTTGGCTTGTGTCTTCTTTTACTTACCTTCCTCACTGGAATACTCCTCTACCCTATGATGTCTTTTATGAGTTACCTCAGTTGTGATGGGACTGATGTCACTGCTAAACTAACATTGATAGAGGGGGGACAAGTCTGCCGTGTGGTGTTCTACCCTCCACTCTCAGGGTTAAGTTCAATTTGTGAACTATGTACATTCATGCTGTTTATCTCATTGTCCTGAAGTCCCATGACTTAACTGCTCTTTCTTGGGACTGCACATAATACCATCAGGGATTACCGCCAGGGATTTCTGGATCTCGGTTTCCTGGTGAGTGTGTGCGAATTTTGGTGGAAAGATGCTTTGCTTCACTGCATGAAGATTTTCTATGTCTGTGTTTAACCTCTCTAAGTTAATTTGTTAACCTTGTGTGACTTTCTCTTGAAAAAGTTAATAAAATAAATAATATTTGAAAAAAAAACACAATAAATACAAAATTCCCTTTCTCTTTATTTCCAGATTCAACATCTTTCACTTGCAATTCTTCATTTTCTGTTATCTGTACATATTCAGGTATGAGATCTCTTCCTGATTATCACGCTTATACCTGGATGTGTGGATCACTAATAAATCTAAGCAATTATAGGGTGTCATTGGCAGTATATGGAAGGCAGAAGTCCTTTAAATGTAACTCAAGAACTCCAGGTTATAGTAAAAAAAAAAATCCTATTGCTTTTGCTGCAAAATTCACCACCTCTCTGGCACTGTGCCCAGACCTCTTCTGGATGACTCCCAGCATCACTCAGTTCCTGAGAGCCTAGGCTGTCAATGGCACACCATCTAGCAGTACGTCATCACATTGCCTAGGACTCACAGTACTGATAAAATGAACAACGCTCACACTTCACTAATTAAGTTTTGTTCTGTGCATCAGTAAGTTCCATCCACCACTGTAAAAGAGGAATGACCTGGGACCTGGAAAAAATGCTGGGTTTTGTCAAATGCATGGGGTGGTGATTTAGTGAGTAGGGAAGAAAACTGGGGGAGACAAAAACGGGAGTTCTGCTTTAGACATTTTAGGCATAGAACAGAAACATCATATAGTTAATCAGGTCATATCCATTGAGTTCATCCTGCATCCAACATAGCAGTTGCTAGACAGTACATACCCACTTGCAATATAATGGAAATCTACAACTGTTTAAACAAGAAATAAAGCTGTTCTTTTGAACTAGTAAGGCAACAGAGATAGGTCAGCATCAAGAAAATGCAGGAGGAAATTAAGTGCTGTGGAAGACTTATAGCACCACTTGAGCTCAACCATAATAGGTCAGTTCATCCAAAAGTGATAGAGGGAATTTGATTTTATTTATAGGGGGAATCTGGTGATCAAAATCCCCCTATCCTCTTGTTGCCTTGCACTCAAACCTCAAGATTTCCATATCAAAGTTCCTGGATCTGCATCTGACCAGCCTGTTGACTCCTCACTCCTGCCTCCCCCCAACGCTTTAAGGAGTCCTCAACGATGGGAGTCGAAGGTGGGCTTTGCTACCATGTGATCACCGTCATTGCCTGTCACAGCGGTCACATGATTGGGAGCCTATCCCACTGGCTCCAGATTGTAAACAATAACTAGCAGGTGTCAGTGATAACTCCATCACTGTTCTGCGAGCGACGAGTGAGCATGCTTTAAGCACAGAACTGGCTGTATACATGTATGCAGCAGCCCAGCAATAAAGCCTACCCACCATCCAGCCTAGCCACAGGTTCACTTTAAGAAAACATTACAGCAACTGGTCTACCTCTCTAGGTGTAAAAAAATATATACTTTCCTGCAGTGTGCGCAGGGGCGGACAGGATACACCAGAGGAAGTAGTCAGAATGACCACTATTCACTACAAGCTTTTCTATACAGGTCTCTTTTTACACTGCCCCCCTCACCCACATACACACATTTTACTTTGGAGTATGCTGGCTGCCCCTGCTTACAGTAAAAGGTGTGCTGTAATATGGAATATACTGTACAGGCTTCATCCGGGCCAGGCAGTTAAAACAAGGGTTGCTACTAGGAACTAGGAACAGTTTGACAGATGGAGTCAGCTGCTTACTGTTGGGCTGTATAAATGTACACTTATCCTTTCAGGAAAGGGTGACAGAATAAGGAAGGGAAAAGCAGACTGACAGGTTTATCTCTCACCTTCGCCTTCTTCAACCACTGCGTGAACAACCATCGGATACACCTCTCGATCCAGGTCAAATGTCAGCTGAAATACATCAAAGGAAAAAGTTGTGTGTGAGTCAAGCATTTCAGAAATAGTTGTGACTCTAAGAGCTAATACCTTTTTTACAATACACAGTAAAAAGGTAAGAAAAGAACAGGTAGGTCCAATAAAAGATGAGATAGGTACGGTTGATTCATTACAAACGACAGGAAGAAGGCTGAGGTATTAAATTCCTTCTTCTTGTGTACAAAGAAAAAAATGAGTTTACTAGCTATAACAAGAATGTGAGTAGCTTTGTACATAATATACCGAAGTGGTTGACCGTAGTAGGGGATCAACAAAGACTAGAAAAAATTAAAGTGTATTTCCACTTTTGCAGTCAAATTCAGGAAAACCCCTCCATATTTTCATTATGTGCTCCGATTCACACAGTATACTGAAAAGTAGCTTTAAAAAAAAACAACAAAAAAACCCCCAATCTTTTAGATGTTTTGATGAATCAGGCAAGATGGCTGATTCCAGTCTTTTCTTAGCCCTTTCACAGTGGTCTGTCCTAATAGAAAGTCTTGGCACTAATATTTGAGGATTGTGTTTATCTGATAAGCTTCATTAACATACAATGAGCAAGCCACCTCTCAATGGACAAGACCCTTCAGGCCTGGTTCACACCTGTACGTTTTGTAGCGCGTTCCAACGCTCTACGAACGCTCTACAAAACGCTCAAACATGAAAATCCCATTGTTTTCTATGGGTATGGTTCACACCTTGCTGTATTTTAGCCCGTCTGAACGCGCTCCAAAGCGGCCTACGCCTGAAAAGGTACATGAGCTTCTTTGCAGTGTTTTTGTCGCGCGTTTCCATTGGGATACAGCCAATTCGCTCTCGGAAACACGCGTTTGTCGCGCGTTTTTTTAACTGCGAAAAACGCGTGTCACGAAACGCGAGACAAACGCGCATATTCGATACGCCTAGGTGTGAACAGAGCCTCACCCCTCCCAGCCTTTCCTAACATTTCAAATTAAAAGCTATTTAAACTGCAAGAAGCATTTTTTTTTAGCTTATGCTATGTGAATAGGAACAAGTAACAAATATAAAATAAGTGTTAAAGGAGAACTATGAGGTAATTGTTTTTCCCCATAGTTCTCCTCGAAACTAACCTCCTGTGACCCAAAGCTCAGTATAACGAGAGCTACAGCTCGCGGTATACTGAGACCGCCGCAGGCAGAACGGATCCCGCCATTACTGTTGAGATCAACCCAGCTGCGTGATTGACAGCTGGCTCTGCCTATCTGAGGCAGAGCCAGCTGTACCCGCCCCCCTTCCCCGTTCGTTCCTCCAGTCAGCAGTGGAGGATTAGAGTGGGGAGGGAGGGAATACCTGCAGGGAGCCGTGAGTGACAGTCACGGCTCTCTGCAGGGACAGGATCGAGAAGGGAGCAAGCGATGGTATGTGTTCGCTCACTTCCCGATCTACTGAGCCGACGTGTGACATTGTCATTGTCACACGTAGGCTCGAACTATGAGGTTGAGTGAAAATCACTCACCTCATAGTTCTCCTTTAACCCAATTTGGTTGCGAAAGTGGAAATATACTTTAATGTGAATAAATCGTCAGGACCAGATAACCTGCACCCAAGGGTAAAGAGTTCAGCATGGTTATAGCGAGACCATTGAAGCGGGGTAGAGGGAAGAGTGCAAGAGAGGCTAGTCCTGAATTGATACACCCCAATAAATATGCCCCATTGCATGATGTTGGGGATATTAGTTCAGGAGTTGCATTACTGGAGCAGGTCACTTCCCCTGTCCGCCAGGGGAGTGACTGCAAAAGAAAGGATGGGAGCAGGAGAGATGGAAAGGTGAGACAGATATTGGTGGTGGGGGACTCTATTATCAGAAGGACAAACAGGGTGATCTGTCACCGGGACCGTGAGCGTAAAACAGTCTGCTGCTTACCAGGCGCTAGGGTTCGACACAGACTAAACCAATATGGTTTAATAAAACTGTAAAACAACACGAACCCTACACCCAACTATTACGCGGGAAAATGCCCAGTATCGGCACCAATACCAATACTAGTATCAGTTCATCCCTAGCAAATTCTTAGCAAGCATTAAATGAGCTTTAAAACAAGAACTGTCCATTGTAGCTATTGGCACTGTGGAGCAATTCCTCCTTAAAATCAAATTAGAAGCACTGATATCATGGTCTCATTCAATTCAGCTCACCTTCCTAGCAGTGACTCTGCAGCCTTCCAGACTTTTAAATATCTAATGTAATCACAGAGCAGAAGCTACCGGAGTGGGAACAGAGTTAAAGGAGCTACTGTGAAAAGGGCTTAAATTACTTCAGGACTGCTTTGAAGATGAATTTCTCCATAGTGCCTATAACTACAGAGGTTAATAAGGGTTTGTTTTAAAGCTTATTTACTGCTTGTTAAGAAAACTGAATGCCGACAGTCCGGCCACAGGTTCACTTTAACAAATGAAGGATGAACTCTGGCCCTGCAGTACAGTCTGGATGGCTTAAACTGCTGCTATTCCTTCTTCCAGTCCTGCTGTATAGTGGATTACTGGATGCTGATATAAAGAAAGATAAAATACATTTAATTATTTCTTAATTAATAAATAGCTGTGTTAAATGGGCATCTGTTGCATCTGCTCAGAGGGTAGTTTAAACTCTAATGTATTATCAGCAGCAACTCGCATTAAAACTTTTTTGTTTTTGACATAAGATGATCTGACCTCCAAATGCCAGCTTCTCCTCCAGCTACTTGATATGCATGCTCATGTCCTTGGTAGCCTAGGAGATCTGCCAGTCTATTGGTAGCCTAGGGCTAACCCTACGCTCAGGAATCTGTGATCATTTAGAAACAAAGACCTTAGCTGATCCCTTATTCACATAGCATGCATGGCCCCTATTTAGAACACCACTGTCTACTGGGCAGTACAGTACCTAATCTCTGCTGTATAAAAAGATATGAATCGTTAAGTCTACTCTGACAAGAGAACCTATCTTCGGAGGCTCATACACTTTAGGACTTATACAACTAGTCCAAACAGTTGCACAGTTAAAACACTTCTTTCCATGTGTAGCTAGCTTTAAAGTGACCCTATGATTTGCCTAGGAGGAGCAAAGCAACAGGTTCTCTTTAATGCAGACCTCCACAGATGCATATATTCCACGGAGCTGAAGGAGTACTTTGTATTTTTGAGCAGTGAGGGAGCCAAGGGGTAAAAGCAGACCTGTATCTTTTATCTCATGGGCTGCCAGCATGCTGGATAGTCAGACCACTGTTGTCACACACAATACAGCGGCAGGGCCTCCAGTGGTCCCACACGCCCCCCTCCCCTTCATGCTGTTCTTATTAAAAAGTGCTTACGTTTTCTAAGCAGCATTGTTAATTGAATCAGTGCGGCAGAAGCTTGGTAGATCACTAGACTTTCCAGAGACTGGTGGGCTGGTATGCAACATCTACAAGAAGTAATTTCTTCTAGAGGGAGCAATACGGTAGCAGCTTCTGGGAGAGTGTACTTACTTTATCCACAGTACACCACTGCATCTATTGATATTTTTATTGCATAAATGATTGAAAAGGCAAATTGCCTTTGTTTTTATTCAACTAGATCACCTTTAATTGTACTGTAGGTCCTGTTCTAATAAAAAGACATAGCATTTGCCTGTTCAACTATGTTGAAAAAAAATCAACACTATCCCATTAGGGAATATTTGATTTTTTACACAACTGTAAAATAGTTTATAAATGCATAGTTTAAAAAGGATTTAACAAAACTGACCCAAAACCATTATTTTTAAGTGTCAGTCCCCCGTAAACTGTTATCTATAATGTAGGTGGATACCAGCTCATTCAATCACCTGCTGGATACTTGGCTGTAACAAGTCTGCCTTCCCAGAGAGTTCTCCAGTCTACCCATCTCTCAAGGCTCTCCCCTTATTAAATATTCCTTTAAAGCTGAACTCCAGACACAACCACATTAATATTAGAGCAGTGGGAGGGGAGCAGCAGGCTCCACCCACTACATGCTGCCTGCAGAAAACTACAGGAGGGGGCGGATACAAGACTAGTTACCCTGCACAAGGAGATAGAGCAGCAGAGCAGCAGTGACTAGACTTTAACCACTTCAGGCGGGTTTATGTATATGTACGTCCTCTGCCTGAAGTAGTTACAGTATACCAAGAACATGGCAATGGCTGTTCAGGTACAAGCGATAGCCACTGGATCGTTTGTACCAAGTGGCAGAATGTGTGCCCCCCCTCTCCGCAGCCACCATCGGCTATACCGGGCTCCGCTGTCCCCCGTGCAGGCCCAGGATCGGCACAGCTTCTTTGGGGTCCCTAGGTGACATTAAGAGTCTGAAAGACTCCTGATCTCTTCATAAAGAGGACCTGTCACATCAAATTTGCTATTACATAAGGGGCTTGTTAGCCCCCTATGTGATAGCAATAAAGTTAAATGTAAAAAAGAAAATGTAAAAAATTAAAGAAACATATATGAAAAAATACAAAATAAAAAAATGTTTAAAGTCCCCCACCTCCACGCGTAAACACGCGTCGGATGCGCCTACATGCAAAAATGAAAATTGCTCCACACGTTACATATCGTGGCGAACGTCGGCGTGAGTGCATTAATTGTAGGGCCATCAATCACTGTTAACACTAAACTGATGAGTGGCAAAAGCTTTTAAATTGTCGCCTATGGGAAATTTGGGGTATTGTAGTTTTTAGCGGTTTCACAGGCAAACGCAATTTTAAGCCTCGACATGTTTGGTGGTATCAATTTACCCAATTTGATCCCGTCTTTTATATTTTGTCCAAAAATTGGGTATTATATTTTGTTTCTGTGCACTAAATTTCATTTTAGTGTATCTTATCCTAAAAAGACAGGTTTGATAAATATTTGCGCAAATAAGGGGAGACATAAAAAAAATTGCAACTAGCATTTTTGTATTCCACAGGGCCTCTGCTTTCAGAAACTATATAATTGTTGGGGGTTTTAGGCTGTTTTCTAGCCAAAAACCCTGATTCTTCATGTGTGTGCAAATAGTAAGAAATTGTTCAGGACAGCAAGCGGTTAATACAAGAATCTCTTGCACAGTGGCAAAGGTTCATGGTGGGTTACTGCACAGATCTGGAGGAAATACATAAATCACATTAAGATTCAAGTAAGAATACACATGGCTCTTGTATTTAAACAATGTTTGCATATCCCAGTGTTCAGCTTTCAGAATACATGGAATCCTCTAAAGCAGTGGTTCTCAACCTGTGTACCTCAGGACCCACATTTGTCCTTGGTCATTAAGTCACGACCCAAGTTGCACTGAAATGGAATGCACAACATGGGGGTACCGCACGTTTCGGTCGATCAAACTGTGGGTGGGAGGTGCGTTTGGGGTGTCATTCAAAAGATCCACCCAGTCTCCATACCTTACAAGAACTGGAGTGGATCCTCAGCCGGGGATCCAGTGCGGGCTGCTGTGCTGTGACAGAGCTCCATCTATATGTGTATTGCTTGTACAGCTCCCTTTGCATGCCCTGTAGAGGTGCCTGGAGCCAGAATGTGACATTACCCTGCTCCAGGCACCTCTACAGGACATGTGAGGGAGCTGTATGGATGCATAGCCCCAGCCCATCCCACCTCAAGCTGACACTCGGCACAGGGCAGCATATTGTAAATGGCTGTTTGGCGTGAAAGAACCGAATCCAGCCTGCCAGGCCATTTCATGTGGCCCTTGCACCTCTACTACAGCTGCGGCACCCCCATAGTCTTCACCCCCACCTTGTCTCAGCAGTCGGCAGCAGAGAGGAGAGCAAAACACTTTGGATATACTGACTAGGGATGCACCAATCGGTGCCGATACTAGGCATTTTCTTGAGTACTCAATAAAAAAAACCCGATACTAAGCACTGATACCGGCGCTTTACATTTTTAAACTGAAGCCAGCGCTGTAAACAGGAGCCGGGCTTCACGGGAAGGCTGCTGGGACCTTGGGCGCTTGGCTGCATGAGTTGTCTGCTCCTGCCAGTAATACACTTCCTGTGCTAGGATGATAACTCTCACTCACTGGACTAATAAGCAGCATTGTCACCCTAGTGTATTAGGACTACAGAACATCCCCACCCCCTGTCCTTAGCTTCTTAACACTGTAAAAAATTCAAGCTTGAGTGGGGGGTTTTAGGTGCCTAGTGACACAATCAAGAATTGCTACAACAATATATCAAAACATCTTTATTGTATAAAAATATTAATAAAACCATATAAAACATGATTGTATAAATTGAAGGCTTCCTTCCTCCTGATATAAATTTGTAATGATAGGAATAGGAGTGATAGAACCCCATGGGTTCCTAAATAGAATATTAACCTTGTGGCCTGTCAACACTCCAGAGCTTCGGTCACGTTGTATAAAGAAAAGGGGGCTAGAGTATGGTAGTCGTTGGTCACTCTCGCCGCCGATGCTAGCAAGGCCGCATATCACTCCTATGCCAATCATTTTTGGGCTGTGGCCTAGTTTTCCCGGGGACTTCCCTGAGCCTGGGTTCTGCGTGCAATATCCCGGCCGGCAGAGGTGCAGTGTTGTTAGTTCACTTACTATATAAAGTTACAAGCTCATAGAATTTCTGGCAGGATCAATAGGTGTTTTTTTCCCTTATGAAACAGATCTAACAAATCTCTTTCAGTGGTATACTTAAACATGCCAAAAGAGAGCAAGTTAGAGAAGTTCATTGTTAGGGTTTACATGCACGTCAAAAAAAACATCATGAATACAATAGTATTTTAATGCCCCCCTTGCTAAAAAAAAAAAAAACAGCTGTGGCCTTTTAATTATACAATAGTTATAAATGAGAATTAATATTATATGCACGTGAAACACACCTGGAACAACTGTACCAGAGTCTTTCTCTTACCTCTTCTTCCCTCCACTCAGAAGGGTCTATGGTATGTGATGGAAGGCAGAACTGTTGGCTGACACCCTTCTTGAAGTACACGGTCTCTGACTGCAAGTTGCTGGCCTTAGGAATGTAACTGATGAAGATATAATGTTAACAACTGTTTCAGCACAAAGAGGCCAAGACAAATAACAATGCAACCAATATCTATAAATAAATATATAAAATGACATGTAATAAAATGCTCTGCACTAGGATCATCCTATGTATCTAGCAGCTATTGCAATTACCTGCAATGCCTGACCCAGATGCATATTTCCCACATAGCTCTACATAGCTACACTCACCTCTACAGTTATACACTGCAAAAGACTCACTGGAATTTCCAATACTAGTTCACATCCCCCACAAAGACAGACCACTTTGAAACCAGACAGGGAAGTCTTCCAATGCATGAAATACAAACACACAAAGCACCTTTTCCTTGTAAAGTATATCATTGTAAAGAATAAAACCATATAAAAAAAAAGTGCTCATGTTTGATAATAAAACGGCACAAATATCAGCCAGTGCAATCATCACAGACAGTAAGCAGCTGACGCGTTCCCAGGGCCATCACTCCTTCCCCAGAGCTGCTTGTGATGATCACACTGGTTAGTTCAGTGGTTGGTTTTGTATTCACTGGATAGTTGACCAGTGAACATAATGCCGACAGCTCAACCAACCAGCGCGATCATCACAAGCAGCTAGAGGCTCTAAAGGAAGGGAATGGGGCCCTGGAAATGCTTCAGGCATTAGTTGTCTGTGATGATTGCACTGGCTGGTCTAGCTGTTGGCATTGTGTTCACTGACATTTTTGTGAATGAGAGGCGCACATGGAGGTATCCGTTAGGCCTCGTTCACACCTGACCGTTTTGTAGCGCGTTCTACGCTCGACGAACGCTCTACAAAACGCTCAAAAATATAAATTGCATTGTAGTCAATGCCCTCGTTCCCACCTTGCCGTATTTCCGCCCGTCCCTAACGCCCTACAAAACGGCCCACGCCTGAAAAGGTCCCGGGACTACTTTGGGCCGTTTTGTAGGGCGTTTTCCATTGGGATACAGCCAAGTAGCCTTTGGAATCGCGCGACGGTCGCGCGACTTTTTTACAAACCGCGCGACAGACGCGCATATTACAATACGCCTAGGTGTGAATGGGGCCTTAGAGCGACCTATGAGCGATATTTGTGCCATTTATTATTGATCTTTGTGAGCACATTTTTTATATGGTTTTATTATTTATTAAAAGATATACTTCACAAAGGAAAGGTGCTTTGTGTGTGTGTTTGTACCTCTACAGATGTGTGTAAACCACTAGCAAATGCTGCCCAGGCAGGAGGAGGGATAAAGCATGCCTGCTCACGTCAGACAGTTTGAAATAATTTGCCAGTAAAAAAGATTAATTATAATGATAACACTTTGTGCCCTTCGTAATGGCCACAAAATCTACCACAACTTACTATTTTCTGACTTTTGTTATAAATGTTGCAAGAAAGCTGCTAAGATGTCTCTGCCGTAAAAAAGTCAGCAAACAACTGCTTTAGACAACCTGAACCATCTGCCTTTACAAGAAAAATGCATACTTACTGTATATACACAAAATGTTTTCCCTCTCATTCCTCAGTCTCTTAATAGGGAACTATAATAGGAAACTATAATAGGAAACTCCCATCCTCTGGAACTCTTTACCCCTACTTGTCCGTCTATCTCCCACCTTGACTGTCTTTAGGCGTTCCCTAAAGACTCATCTCTTTAGGGAAGCCTATCCCACCTCAACCTAACCACTGAACCATCACATTCTCAAATAATTAATCCCCACACAGCTACCTCCTCATGTATCATTTCCCCCTCCTCTTTTAGATTGCAAGCCCTCAGGGGAAGGGCCCTCCTTACCATCTTGTCTTGAATTGTATTGTAATGTCTTCCTTACATTGTAAAGCGCTGCACAAACTGTTGGCGCTATATAAATACTATGTAATAATAATAATACACTACATGCCCAAACTATTGAATTCCAGTTCTGCCAGTGAAGGATTCTGGTAAAGTTACTGCATACAAAGACATTTTAGACAATTGTGCGTTTCCAACCTTGTGGCGCCAGTTTGGGGAAAGCCCTTTTCTGTTCCAGTATGACTGTGCCAACTCCATAAAGACATGGTTTGATGAGTTTGGTATGGAGCAACTTGAGTCACCTGCACAGAGCCCTGACCTCAACCTTATAGAACACCTTTGGGATAAACTGGAACGATTATTGCGAGCCGAGTATTCTCATTCAACATTAGTACCTAAATTCACAAAATGTGCAAAAAGTCCCATACAGCTCATGTGCTCACTGATTTTGGACTCTCATATAGAGGAAACAGGTTAAGGGGTATTTCATCCACACAAAAAACTTCAATACATTGTTTATTAAAACGCCACATAATGAACTTTATGGCTATTGGCTACTTCTTTTGAATTGGTGTATCACAACATTCTAAATATAGAAGGGTTCATAATAAGAGAATGTACCGTATGTAAATACCAGGTATTGCAAAAGTGGAATCATTCTCAAGAAATAGGAAGAAAAAACTGGTCAAGTGTCTTCTGCCAAAAAAGCTTCTTGCTGCCTTCCGGCAATTTTTTTTTCCGTGCACAGGCTTGGCATGCCGAGAAAAAGTAACTCCCATGCGCATGCCCCAAAGTTAAGTCATTGGAAAATTAGGAGGCCGAAGACTTTAAACCCCAGGAGAAGACCACGATGAGGATGAAAACGCGGGTGAGGGAGAAACACAGTGCTGGAGGGGATCGCTATGGCAGGTAAGTCTGCCATAATGTGCAAATATGCTTTGCGGACTAGCACATTATGGCTTAAAGCTCCAGGGGGCTCTTTTTTATTTCTGATTTTAGCCTACTTCCCTTCTGCTTTAAGCGCTGATAAGATATACTTTTGCATATTATATATTACAAAAAGCCAATCAGTTCATAAGAAACCTGTGAATTGCATGCACTTTTCCAATAACAGGTATTTACATATATCTTCTATTATAATTAATTATAGTACATTAAGAGTGTTGTAACACACTTGTTTGGAAAAAATGGCCATCAGTAACAAAATGCGTTATATGGTGTTTTAATAAACAATGTATTCAATTAACTCTTATTATGGATTCAAAACCCCTAAACCTGTTTCTGCTGTATATAAAAAACACCTTCGTTGGGCACCTCTACAACAGAAGCTGTTCAGGACTTTTTGTCACTCCTTATAGATCATGTCAATCACTCTTGACAGGGTCTATTCAGAGGGACAAAGGTTTGGTTCTCCCTGTATGTCGCGTGTGACCACCCACTAGGACAACAGTCTGCCTGGAGACGTATATAGCTTTCTTATAGGTGCCATACTCAGGGATTAACTCAACCTACCTGATTGTAAGCAAATTATTTCATTATTTTAGTATACACATCCCTACCCATTTGTGGATACATTAACTACACTATGTATGGCTCCACTGTCTCTTCCAACTTCTCTTGTGTCTCTCTATTCCCTATCTTTTTGGGAAAGTCAAGATTACACAGAGATGGCCTCACTAAATGCTTTTTCTGGAATGGGCACAAATTCCCACAGACACGCTCAAAAATCTTATGGAAAGCTGTTTTGACTTCAAAAAAGAAAAGGGGGGGCGGCAACTTAATATTAATGGCCATGGGATGTCCAACAAGCTGTAATGGTCAGGTGTCCATTACATATCAAATCTGTTTGTCATCAGACTATTTTTTCCTGAATAAAACTCCTTATGCATCCTGTGGAGAGATGGAGAGGAAAGGAGGAGGAATCACTGTTCTGTTAGTTCTATGTGTACATTTCATGAAATTAATGGGGTCTGATTTTCTATTAGTGGAATAACTTTTTCATGGTGGCAATTCTCTGTAGCACAAAGTTGTTTGTGAAGCTGTGTACACTACTGAGGCTTGTTTGGTAATACTGGGGTAAGCACAGTATGCTTGTTTAATGTGCTTGTATAAAGTATCAAGAACTGTAGTCTGAAACAAAGAATACGAATACCACTGAACTGGAGTTTCTAAGTAAGTGAACCACCATCCATATTAATAATTTAATCATAAAAACACTGGCCAACTACAGTATTCTTTCTAGTGCTTGATCCTGGGCGCTCTAGCCTTAAGAATAGCAGTGTCAGGTTCCTGGTGCAAGAACAAACATAGAGTGATCAGAAGGCCATGGAAAGGGTCCCCATATATAGCAGGACAGAGCTTGCATAAGATTATTTCTTTATAACCTTTGCTTCTAATATCCACTGTATCTTCAGTCAACAAATATTCACCTGGCAATTCCCCCTTGGAACTCTTCACTTGCTTGGTAATAGATGGTGATTGCCACTCTTGCATCAGTATCAAATGTAAATTCCACATTATAATGGACCTTGGGACGACTGCCCTCCACGTCGCTGGCCTTCATTTCTTCTGTACACCTGAAAAGACGCCTTGTTACTAGACCAACGACAGTCACACATACAGCGCTGTTTAAACGGGAAAACATGCTATAAATAATATACCAATGGAAAGAATAGGTATGTCTTATTGAAAAGAAAGGTAAACACCACCTCAAGCTAGGTCCTTCTCTCTAGAATGATTACAAAGTTGGGCTCTAAAGTAGTATTGGTATTGCTCCGTGTTTGCTGGATCTGGAGTGGATCCAGAAGTTGGGTTCTAGCCTCAGGTTTGCTCCAAACCCTAAAGGAAATCCTCAGCTCCAGAAATCCCAAGCTCAGTCTTCAGAGCTGCTCCAGAAATAAAGCTAAAAAAATATTCAGAGCTGCTCTGCTCAGCTACAATTACAAAAAAAGTGAAACAAAGTATATATCTTTTTCACCATATGACATTCACTGTTCTGACCCAAGTTTTTAAAACTAGGGGTCCACCTAACTATGACTTGGGGTGGTAATTGGTTTATTGGTGGGTTTTGCTTTACTAGCAGTAAAACTGTGCATCACTGGCCCCCTTCTGGACTGAATGATGCTGGGCATTTCCAACCTACCTCCTATAAGATCGGGCTGTCAAACCCCTGTAGGGTCATTACTTGTGTGCCCTTCTGTGCTGGCTTAAGGCCCAGTCACCACCACCCCACAAGTAGAGAAAGGACTCCTAGCATCACATTACTGAGCAAAATACTTCTGGATCTGAGTTATGTGTTTAAGTGTTTTTTGAAAAATGGAGGGGGCAGTGGATTTAGAGAGAGTGAGGGCCTAAAAAGCTGGAGTTGGGCTTTATTCTCTGAGAAGGAGATAGATAATGTTTAGCGGCATCTTACTACAGATACAGCCACACAATAAAACATACAATTTGTTGTTCAGTCACCTTACTAAACGCAACGTGTCCTTGCGGATGTTGATGAGACTGCGCAGTGTTTTCACAGGCTCCTGTGGAGAAGGTGCAGCATATGGGAACTAAAAGAGAAGACAGAAAATGACTAGGTAATCTTAACTATTACGATGTGCTCTACAAAATCCATGAAGGCACACTAGTTCTAGGGCAGACAGTCATCAGTAAAACAATGATATTGGTAACATGGACTTGCTAGAAGTAATGATTAAGCTAGTATTGTAATTTGTGCACAGTCTTGCTCATGTGTTATATTGTCCAAGCATGTGGTGGGGAATTCATTTTTTTCCCCCTCCCCATCCACCCATCAACTGGTCTTCTTAACACCCCTCACCTCATGACGCTGCCTCTTTTTTTTTTTTTTTCCAAATTCTTTATTTATAGACAAAAAGGGTGGGGTACAATGCATGGAAGCTCACGCGAAGGCCACATGGTCTCGAAAAATAACAAAACAACGGACAGTGAGACTCATAATACGAACATGGTAACATGTGGTAATATTAGGTCCAATAATCACATTTGTCCCCGCCCTTAAGGCAATTTTTAGGTGAATTAACGTAAAACCAACATTAACGTCAGGGAGAGCGGTCGGGCCCAGCCCCACATTATGGGCGGCCAAGCCCCCCACGATCACCCCCAGACAGCACATAAAAGACTAACAGAGACAAACACTGAAACATAAAGCGAAAGCAGAACAAAACTTAGGGAGAAGGGAAAGTAGAATATGAAACCAAGTCCCGCGCCCCGGCGGCCCCCGGTCGACTCAACCCTCCATAATGGGTGGCCCAGACTGGCAGAACCTCAATCTCCGGCGTCCACCCCACACATCACTGCGAAGGCTGCCGACCCCCTGAACATTACCCAAGCGCCCCAGGTAGCCACATATTTGGACTGTGACTCCCGTAAACCAGCTGTCAAATCCTCCATCAGTCTGATCTCCTCCACCCGCCGCACCCACATGCCCAACGACGGAGGGCGGGTTTGTCGCCATAAGACTGGTATGCAGGCTCTGGCCGCGTTCAGCAGGTGGATCAACAGCGAGCGTTTATAGGCTTTTCGGGAGAGTGGTGCCAGGTGGAGAAGATAGACCGACGGCGTGAAGGGCAGTATATGGCCCGTGATATCTGTTATCGCAGATGCAATTCCAGCCCAGAATGGCTGAACCTTCAGGCAATCCCAGAAGACATGAAGCAGGGAACCCTCTTCGGACTCACAACGCCAGCACATCGGGGACACTGCAGGATACATAACATGTAGGGTCGCAGGCACCCTGTACCATCTGGTTAAGAGTTTATACCCGGCTTCCTGGTATTTGTTGGAAACTGAAGATTTAAGAGCAAAGTATAACATGGTGTCCACCTGCGCTGGGGTTAGAGTCAGATCTAAGTCCGAGGCCCGACGCTGCCTCTTTAAGGTGCATGTATAGTCAGTGTTTTTTTTTTTTGCTTTGGATAAAGTAGGTTAGTATTAGAACCTCTGAATTATTTATTGCTGTATTTGTCCCTGCTGGGAAGATTCACCTCTCCGTTTGTACTGGTGACCATTGTCACCAACATCAAAAGTTGTCACCAGAACAAGAGGTGAAGGGAAATCTTGAAATTACTGTCCTGGCCACAATTGTCTGAGAGGGGTTTTCCCCTCATTTTGTATAGATTTCCTCTCAAATCCAGTTTCATCTTCCACAAAGGAAGTAAATGGAAATCCCCTTACTGGAAAAACAAAAAATAAACTAACAGGGGGTTTTTATTCCATTCATACTCTCTTTCTGAAACTGAAAAAAAGTTTGGTAATACCTACACTTTAGGGATAAGGGACCCTGTGGGGACCCTTGTGATAGAAACATTCGTTTAGTAATAGAAAGTAGCATAGCAATTCAGAAAGTGACAAATACAGTACAAAAAGGACCCTCTGAGATAACAGAATTTAAGACCCAGCCTGCCACATGATCGGAGTTTCACGTAACAAAGCTTTAGTTTCTTTGAGTTTTCTTTGTTTTTTTACAGGGGCCAGGAGTATCTAA